GTCTGCCGGGAAAAGGGGCGAGCGGGGGGGGCGTGGGTGGGGGTTTGGAACAGGGGGACACAGGGGGGACACCCCAAGGGACAGAGGACACGGGGAGGAGGGGACACGGGGGGTCCTGGGGTGCCTGACGGCGCAGAGGGGGGCGGGGGGGGGTCCCTGCCGGGCCCCACCTTGACCTCGTTGTAGAAATACTTCTTGTCGTCGGGGTAGAGCAGGTCGGCGATGCCGAAATCGGCCACCTGCACCTGGCTGGGGGACTTGAGCAGCACGTTGCGGGCGGCCAGGTTGCGGTGGACCATGCGGTGCTCCTCCAGGTAGTACATGCCCTGGGAGAGGGGGGGGGACACACCGGGGGCTCCAGCGGCGCCGGGGAGGACCGGAGAGACCCCCCAGGGCACGGCAGGGACTCACCTTGGCCACCTGGACGCACCAGTTGAGCAGCAGCTGGGGGCTGATGGAGTCGCGGTTCTTGCGCACGTACTCGAGCACGGAGCCCAGGGGCAGGAGCTGCGTCACCAGCTGGAGCTGCGGCCCCGGGCAGATCCCCAGCAGCCGCACGATGTACGAGTGGTCCAGGCTGCCGATGGCCAGCATGTGCTGGGGGGGGGGCAGTGTGAGCCACGGCCGAGCCCCCCCCCCACCCACGGGGCCTCCCCCAAAAACACCCCCGGGAACACCCCCGGCACCTCCCGGACTCACGTCGGTGACGGCGTGGAAGGACTGCTGCCCACTCCAGTCCTGGATCACCTTGATGCTCACCGGGATCTTGATGGAGTCCCCATCTGGGATCCAGATGCCCTGATGGGATGGGATGGGGTGGGATGGGATGAGTTTGGGTGGGATGGGATGAGGTGGGATGGGATGGGGTGGGATGTCCTGGTGGTGCCGTGTACGGCCCCGGCTCACACGGAGCCTCCCTCTCACCTTGTGCACGGTGCCGAAGACGCCGGAGCCCAGAACCTTCAGCCGCTTCAGCTCCGTCTCCTTGAAGATCCGGGCCAGCACCTTGTTGGCCTTTTCACTGGGATCCAGCGGCTCCAGGCTCTGCCGGGCGGGAGACGGGGATGGGAATGGGGATGGAGCAGGACGAGGATGGAGCGTGATTGGGACGGAAACAGAGATGGAGATCTCACCTCTCCCCTCTCCAGGTAGCGCCGCATCGCCCGTTTCTTCTGGATCTTCTTCCCTCGCCAGTAGAGCAGCGCGAGGAGGACGATGGAGCAGGAGAGGAAGAGCCCCCCGACCACCATCACCGCGATCAGCGTCGGCGCCTTTCTGGCCGCGGGAGGAGGTCGGGGCTCAGCTCCCGGGGCTCAGCCCCCGGCACCGTCCCCCCGGAAGGGCAGGGCAGGGCAGGGGATGGCCCCGCAGCCCCCCGGGGTCCCCGCAGCCCCCCGCCCACGGTACCTGGACACGGGCAGGGCGTCCCCCAGGCAGTCCCGCAGCAGCGGCCCCAGGCACCTGCAGGGACAGAGCCGGGGCTGAGCCGGGGTGGGAGCCCCTCTCTCTGGCCGGGCAGGGGGTCCCGGGCCCCCCACCCGCCCCCTGTGGGGTTCCAGCCCCCTCTTTGTCCCCGCGCCCCACACACCCGCGGGTGCAGTTCTCGTGGCAGGGCCGGCACTCGCGGCTGCCGTCGGGGAACTTGTAGATGGGGCCGCGCTCGCCCAGGACGCCGTCGGGGCATCTCTCCACGCAGTGGGGCCCGTCGCGATAGTGGGCACAGCGGGTGCAGGTGTCGGCGCCCTGGGGGGGGGGGGACACGGCGTGAGGACCCCCGTGGGGGTGCGGGCGGGGTCCCCGTGGCCCCCCCGGCCGGGCCGTACCGAGCCGTTGCAGGTGACGCCGCCCTCGATGCGCTCGCACTCGGGGTGGCACTCGAAGCACTCGCCGTCCTGGGAGAACTCCCGCGTCTCCCTGCGGGCACAGGGCAGGGTCACCGCCCACCCTGGGAGCCCCTCCCACCCTGGAGTCCATCCCAGCTCCCATCCCGTCCCGGGAGCCCACCCCCAGCACCCATCCCACCCCCCGTGCCCATCCCAGCCCGGCGCTGACCCCGCTGCCCACTGCGGGGTCCGTCCCACCCCGTGCCCACCCTGGGGCTGACCTCCCTCCGGTGCCCACCCCGTGCCCCCAGCCCCGTGCCCCGGCAGGCCCGGCCGCCCCCCCGGCCCCCCGCGCCCCCTGACCCGTGGGTGAAGCGGCAGGTGGGCACGCAGACCCCGCGCCGGCTGTAGTGGCGGCAGGACAGGCACTGCCCGGGGCCGGGCCCCCAGCAGCCCTCGGCCGAGCACAGCGGGTCACACACCTTCCCCTCTTGCTCTGCGGGGGGAACAGGGGGCTCAGAGTGGGCTCTGGGGGTCCCGGGGGCTCAGAGCAGGCTCTGGGGGTCCCCACGCCCCAGAGGGACGGGGGAGCTCGTCGTGGGGTGCCCCGGGGGGGTCCCGCGGCCCCTCCCCAGCCCGGCCCCACGCACGGCACTTGCTGCGGGGTCTGTTGTTGCGGATGTCGAGGTCGGCGCGGGAGCGGCTCAGGGCCGCCCAGTGCACGGTGTGCAGGAAGCAGAGCCGCCGGTTCTCGGTGATGTACACGCGGCCCGCGCTCACCTCCCGCAGCGAGCGCAGCCCCAGGGACGTCACGTTCTCGTTCTTCATGATCAGCAGGGAGAAGCCCCGGCTGCGGGGAGGGGGGGGGGGAGGGCGGGGGGGGCACGGGGGGGGGGCTCGGGGGGGGGGGGGGGGGGGATGCTGTGGGGATTAGGGGATTCTCCGGGAGCGGGGAGGGCAAGGACCAGCCTGAGGGAATACGGGGAGAAGGACGCAGGGATGGGAGAGTGCAGGGATGGGCAGGGATGTGGGACAGTGAGGGGACTCAGGGACAAGGGATGTAGGGATGGGGGATGACGGGCGGATGCAGGGATCAGGGCTGAGGGGGATGCAGGGATGGAGGATGATGGGCAGATGCCGGGATCAGGGCTGAGGGGGACACAGGACACACACGGGAGGGGGTCCTCACTTGTAGAGGCTCCGCCCGCCAATGGTCTCCAGGTTGGAGAAGACGCTGAAGTTCTGCATGTGCTTGGGCCAGGACTGGATGTTCAGGTACCCTGTGGGAGGGCAGGGGGGTGTCACAGTGGCCCCCAGGGTGTCCCGGGGGTGGTCCCGGTGCCCCCCAGCCCTGTGCTCACCCGTGATCTCCCGCACCGTCCGGAACACGTTCAGCTTCTCGGGGTCCAGGGCGGAGATGTTGCGCCAGGGATCCCTGCGGGGCCAGAGCCGTCAGCAGGGCTGGGGGGCTGCACCCCCCTGGCCCCCCAGTGCCCGTCCCTCACCCCTCCAGGCCCGTGATGAGGAAGTCCAGGTTGCCCAGGATCTTGGTGCAGTTGACGAAGGTGTCGATGTTGCTGGAGTCCACGGTCTGGTACTTGCTGCCGGCGCCGGTGCCCTCGCAGGCTGTGGGACGCGGGGAGGGTGAGGGGTGGTCCCGCGGCCCCCTCGGCCCCCTCGGGCCCCCCCAGCCCCGTACCCTTGGGGCACAGCCCCCCGCAGGGCTCGCACATCTTCAGCCCGTTCTTCTCCACCTCCATCTTGTCGTTGGGGCAGGCGCGGACGCAGGAGCTCTGGTCCACCACGAAGTTGTCTGTGGGGAGACCCTCGTGGGGGTCAGAGCCCGGGACCCCCCCAACCCCCCCGGCCCCCCCGGGACCCCCAAACCCCGACTCACGGGGGCACTCCCGGACACAGACGCCCCCGTACTGGTACTTGGTGTCGGGATTGGGCTCCAGCTGGAAGGTCAGCTTGTTGTAGATGAGGGGCTGGGGGCAGAGGGGGACGCACTCCCCGCTGTCGTTGAAGTGCCGGCAGGCCTGCGGGACGGACATGAGGGTGGACGGACGGACACACGGACGGGCGGGGGGACGGGGAGGATGGACGGACAGGGGGATGCGGGGGTGTCAGTGCAGAGACAGGCACAGACCCCCCCGGGGGACGGGGGGCACGTACGAAGCAGTGGGTGCGGAGGGGGCCGGTGCAGCCCCCCGCACACTCCTCGTGGCAGCACTCGTTGGGCGCCCGCCCGAAGCAGCGCCCGTTGCACTGGGGGGCACAGATGGTCTTGGTCACTGCGGGGAGGGGGAGGGGGGGTCAGCGGGAGGCAGGGGGGGGGCCCGGCCCAGCCCCCCCGGCCCCCCCCCAGCCCCCGGTACCCACGTTTCTGGCAATCCTCGGGGCCGGGCCCCCAGCAGTGCCCGCCGCAGCTCTCGTGGCACGGGGCACCTGTGGGAGAGTACAGGGGGGGTCACCCCTAAAGCCAGGGGGGTCCCCACACCCCCGGCCCCCCCTGAAGTCCCCCCACGCACAGGCCTTGCCGTTGTCCCTGACGATGGGCTCCTGGCGGGGGTCCCGCATGATGTCCCTCCACTCCACCGTGTCCACGTGGCAGAGCTGCGCGTTCTTCTCGATGTAGACGCCGCCAGCCAGGATCTCTGGGGGGGGCAGGGGGGGTGACGGGGGGCACAGACCCCCCTGGACCTGCCCAGCACCACGGCTGGCACGGGGGATGGCACAGCTCTGGCACAGGGGATGGCACAGCTCCAGCACAGGGACCTCGGGGGTCGGCCCTGCTCTGGGGGACACTGTCACCCTGTGATGGGGACAGCACGGGGGGCACGGGGGGCACTGACCCACAACGGGGACCACAGAGGGGCACAGGGGGGTGGCACAGCTGTACGTGGGGACAGAAACACTCTGGGATGGGGATTTGGGAACAGGCACCACGCTGGATTAGGGACCTTGGCGGGACGGCGCCGCTCGGGGCGGGGGCCACAAGGCTCAGGGGGTGTCACCGCTCCGGGGTTGGGTCCCCGGGGGTCCCACCTGTGAGCTGGTTGAGGCCGAGGTGGCGCAGGGCGTGGGTGGCGTTGGGGTTGTAGTTGAGGAGGACGAAGAGGGCGAACTTCTCCTCGTAGAACTGGGTCCCGCGGATGACGCGCAGGTTCTGCAGCGGCAGCGACGCGAAGACGTTCATGGCGATCAGGATGTAGCCCGTCACCTCCCGGATGGTCTGCGGGCACGGGGGGTCAGCCTGGCGGGGGCACAACCCCCCCCGTGTCCCCCGAGTCCCCCCCAGCTCACCTGCAGGAAGGACAGGTCCTGTGCGTGGTCGATGAGGACGATCTCCAGGTTGCCCATCACGATCTCGCAGTTGTTGTACATCTTGTGCAGGGTCTGGTACTGGTGCTGCGCGTCCCCCGTCACGCTCAGCCCGTTCAGGGTCCCCGCGCACACTGTGGGCACAGCACCCTGTCCCCACTGCCACAGCACCCTGTGCCCACTGCCACCACAGACCCCCGTGGCCGGCCACAGCCCCCCTCCATGGCCACAGCCCTGTCCCCCATGGGGTCCCCATCCCCTCCACGCTGGCCACATCCTCCCCTTGGTGACCTTGGTGGCCGTGTCCCCCCCTCAATGGCCGAGTCCTTTCCTTTCTGGCCATTACCCCCCATGTCCCCTCCTCAGTGGCTCTGTCTCCTCATCAACACTCTTGTCTCTGTCCTGTGCTGGCCACGTCCACGCCCCCACCTCCCACAGTGTCCCCTCCACGACGTGTCCCCCCAACACTGGCCACGCTGGTGCCCCCAAAGTGTCCTGGTCACCCCCAGGGTGTCCCTGCCAGGCTGTCCCCATCCACTCCCTGTGGTGTCCCCGTCCCCTCCACGGTGTCCCCCCCACACTCGCCCTGTGCCATCCCTGTCCCCCCCAAAGCCCTGCCCCGGCTCTGTCCCCGCCGTGGGGGTGGCAGTGCCCGGGGGGGGGGTGACGGGTGCTCCCCCACCCTCCCCTCCCCTCCCCACCCCTGCGCGGTGCCCGAACCGGCCGGGCGAGGGTTGCGCAAGGCGGGTGCCGCGGGCACGGCCCCCCCCACGCCCGGCACACCCCGCACGGACTTCGGCCCCGGCCCGGCCCGGCCCGGCCCGGCCCGTCCCGACGCCCGAGCCCCCCGGACACCCCCGAGCGCGGGGGGCGGCGGGTCCCCCCGGGGTGAAGGGCTCCGTCCCCCCCCGCGTGGGCGCACAGGGCCCCCTTTGTGCGCGGGGAAGGACTCGCCCCCTCCCCGCCACCGCACAAAGGGGCGATTGTGGCGGGCGGACGGGGGGGAGGCCGAGCCCCCCGAAACCGGTACCCCCGGGGCACAGCGGGGTGCGGGGCCCCCCCCGGCCCCGCAGACGTGACTCAGGGCCCCGGCGCGGGGGGGCCGCGGTGGGTAAAAGGCAGCTTTGTCCGGCCCCGAGACCCCTCCGGAGGCGGCTGCAGAGAACGGGCAGCTCGGTGCACGAACGGGAAGGGGCGCGGGGCCTGCAGCCCCCCCCTCGCGCTCCCCCCGCCCCGGCCGGAGCTATTTTAACAGGGAAAGGGGCTATATTAAGGTCCCAGCTGTGTCAGTGCTGCCCCCAGCCTCGACGCCCCGGCGATGGGCACAGCGGGGCCCGAAGCGGGGGAAGCCGAGATCCCCCTGAAACACGGGGAGCGGGGGGGGGGCAGCTGGGACCCGCCCGGGGGTTCTCCGGGATGCCGGCGGGGCAGGACCCGGCCCCTCCCTGGACCCTCGTGGCTGGGAACGCTCGGTGTGTTTGGGCAACGTGGTGAATCATTAACGGCTGCTCAACCAGTCCGACCTGACCCCCGGGCACGAGGGGCTGCCGGTGCCCGACCCCCGGGGTGCACCTGCCCGGGGGGGGGGGGGGGGGCGAGGCCGGGCCCCCCCCGGGCGCCGCGGCGGCGTCGCTGCCGGGCGTTATCAGCGCGGGGCCTCGCTGGCAGCTCCGGCACGTCCCCGCTATCAGCCGCGTGCCACCGCGGCCCCCCGGCCCCCGCCGCCAGGAATAGCACCGGGGGGACCCGGCCGGGGGGGGGGACACAGACCCGACCTCCTGCCCTCGGCCCCGCCGGCGGCGGCACAAAGGGGTCTGTGTGCGCCGGGCCCGGCCCCAGACAAAGGGGGCTCTGAGAGAGGATGGGGACGAGGGTTTGGGGGGAGCAGCGCTGGTCCCGCTCCCCGCGGTGCCCCCGTGGTGCCCCCGGGCCCCCCAACTGTTCCCTCTCGGGGTGGGAGCCCCCCGTGTGATCCGGACCCCGTGGGTGGCACCCCCGAGGCGTCGCCGGTGGCACCTGGAGCAGGGGGGGACACCGAGGGGACGGGCGCGACCCCCGCACGCCCCCCGAACCAGGGCACCCCCCGGCCCGCGGGGGTGACGCGCCGGCCCCACCTGCGCGTCCAGCCCTCGGTGTTTTTCCTTTGGGGATTTGAAAAACAACTCCCAGGCGGATCCGGCCCTTCCGGGGTGCGGGGGGTGCGGGGGGGGCCGGAGCGGGCAGGGACGGGGTCCCCCCCTCGAGGGGTCTCCCCTTCTCTGGGGTCCCGCCCTGCCCCGACCGGATCCCGGAGGCATCGGCGGGTCCCGGCCCCGCAGCCTAAAATTAGCCCGGGCAGCTGCGGGGGGCACAGGTGCCTCTGCCCGGGGGGGCCCCGAGCCCGGGACCGACCCCCGGGAAGGGGGGACCGAGCCCCGAACCCGCCGGAGCCGCAACCCCGAGGGGGCTTTGCCGGTCCCCGTCCCCCTGGGGCCGTGGGGGTCCCCCCGGGACCGGGGATCGCGGGACGCCCCCGCGGGCGTCGGGGCCGCGGGAATTGTCGGGATCCGGCACCGGCGGAATCGCGGACTCCGTGACCGCCGGGACCCCCCCGAGCTCTCCCGGTCCCGCCGCCCGTCCCGGGACCCGCCGAGCGCTCCGGCAGCCCCCGGTTCTCGCCGGTGCCCGATCCCGCCGCGGCTCCCCCGGTGCCGGAGCTCACCTGCCTGCGCGGAGCCCGGCGCGGGAGCGCGGAGCAGCAGCGCCAGGAGCAGCAGCAGCAGCGCCCGGGGCCGGTGCCAGTGCCGGTCCCGGGGCCGGTCCGGGTCCATCGCGGCTCCTCTCCGCGGGCCCCGGCGGCGCGTGCCCGGGCGCGGCGGGGGGGAATGCACCTGGCGCGGGGCCGCCGGGGCGGGACGGGCCGGGATCGGGGCCGGGCCGGGCCGGGCGGGGCAGCGGCGGGGGGGGGGTGGGGGGGGGGCCCCGCTCCGCTCCCCGCCCCTCCCGGGACC